AAATTATATACAAGGCGATCCTAACTTGATTAATGAAAATAAACTGTGGGTCGGAGCAACATCTCTCCCTGACGGTGTCTGGCATTGGAATTCAGGGACCAACCTAACGTACACTGACCTGTGGGATGCAGGTCGACCAGTAGCTGGTGGGGGTCGGGAGTGTGGTATATTGGAAAGCAAATCACAATATAATATGAAAGATATCAGATGTAACACGAATAGTTTTCCTATATGTGAAAGAAGTAAGTGAATACATGGATTCTGCATTGATTGGTTGCCGCTATATTTCAAATTTATTAGGACAAATTTTCAAATATAGCTGATTGATTGATTGATAGATATTTTGGAGAAACAATTACACATGTCTCATCACGGTGTCATGTGATTTCGGTCTAAGTTATGTAGTTTATGTTTATGTAAGTTATTTTTATGTGAAATTGGTGTACTAGTATTTAGTTTCCTAATTCATAACGATGATCTTATTGTAATTCATTGCAGGATTGATTTGTTGTCACGATTGTACTGTTGATCATATACTTGTCTACGTACATTGTTGCTACATATTATCTGATTACCTTTATCAAAACTGCAATATTTGTAATATTTGTATAAAAAACTGTGATTACAGCAGCACAATTATCCTAGAATAACTAAAATGTTTTCAAAGATATTTATGACAAGACAATATTACCAATAAGGAAGATTAACCTACTCTACAATAGAACGCACAGGTTGGGAAATAATAGTTACGACAATTAAACTACTAAATTCTCAACAAAGACCACTACGCGAACAGACAACTATGTAAATTAGAAAGCACTGTATGTGGAGAGTATTGTCTTCATCGCAAGTTTAATATAATGCTGATTAATTGTCTTCTTGCAATGCCCGACTGATAATCTTTATTTTAAAAAACATGCATAACCACTAAATACTAATTCATGTCATTTGTAGATATCGCGCTACAACCAACATCTACGTATACGAGAAAAATAACAACTGCCGAGATTACATCTGCCACAGAGGTTAACCGAAAAATAACAACTCCTGAAATTCCTACAAATAGTACGTTTGAAACACCAACAAGGATGACAACAGTGACTGAAACCACAACAAATATTACAACTGCAAACACTAGTACAACGATTACTACTTCTGACACTCATACGAAGATTCTTCTAGAGACGACTGAAACGATTACAACTCCAAACCCTCATACACATTTTACAAGTCCCAAACCACCTACTAAGTTTGTAACTCCGGGAACGCCCACAAACACCACAACTCTTGATACGCCCATTACAATAATAAATTCCAAAACTCCTACAAAGTTTTTAAATCAAGGAACCGCTACAAAGGTTACAACTCATGAATTTCTTACAAAGATTACAACGTCAGAAACTCCTAGAAAGATTCCAACTTCTGAAATTCCTACAAATATTACAAATCCAGATACCCCTACAGAGATTGCAACTTTAGATATTCCTACAAATACTACAACCCCTGAAACTCTTACAAATATTACAATTGCAGATATTTATACAAAAATTACAACTTCAGAACTTCCAAAAACGATTACAGCTTCTAAAATGCCCATAACTATCTCAACTCCTCAAACTTCCTTTGACATAAGTTCTGAAACTCCTACACAGTCTTTAAATCCAGAATATCCTACAACGATTATAACTCCTAAAAGGCCTACGAAAATCACAATTTTTAACACTTCCGTTACAACAAGGAATTCCAAAACTCCTACATTTTTTTTTACTCCAGAAGCTCCTACAAAGCTTGCAACTTCAGAAATTCCTACAAAGATTACAACCTCAGAAAGTCCTACAAAGACTGCAACTCCAGAAACTCCCGGAAAAATCACAACTCCTGAAAATCCTACAACGATTATAACTCCAGAAAAGCCCACGAAAATAACAGCTTTTAGCACTTCCGTTACAACAAGGAATTCCGAAACTCCTACAAAATTTTTAACTCCAGAAGCTTCTACAAAGCTTGCAACTTCAGAAATTTCTACAAAGATTACAACCTCACAAATACCCACAAAGATTGCAACTCCAGAAACTCCCGGAAAAATCACAACTCCTGAAAATCCTACAACGATTATAACTCCAGAAAGGCCCACGAAAATCACAACTTTTAGCACTTCCGTTACAACAAGCAACTCCAAACGTCCTACAAGAATTACAACTCCAGATCTTTCTACAAAAATTACAGCTTCAGAAATTCCTACAAAAAGTCCAGAACCTCTTACAAAGTTTACAACTCCAGAAATTCCTGCAAAAATAACAGAAACACATACAAACTCGAAAACCAGACTGCAAACAACTCTTGAGTCGACTGGGTCATTGTATACTACAGAGATTCAACTTATTTCAGAAAACACATCCCTTATTCCTACCACAATGATACTAACTCCTAGTTCTAGTGAAGATAACACAACGGAACAACTAACATTAGAAACGGCTTATATTAATACAACCACAGGTAAGTAACATAACATTGCAACATAAGTATATTGCAACAATTGAATATTTCAGATCATAATACATGCTACACCCCCAGATAAATAGCCGAAAACAACAGCACAAGCAACAAATAATAAGCAGTGATCAGTGTTCGTGTATGGTTTACTCAACGTTGATATGTTGGACATATATTATCACCATTTATACATAAGAATTGTCAATTAGTTTTATATGCTTTATTTATATATTTTGCAGCAATTGTATGTCCGAACGGATACTGTCAGAATGGTGGACAGTGCATTATATCATATTCAAACAACAATTTTACATGCAGGTAAAAGGAATTAAATATAATAATTATACATATTGAAAACAACTGCGCTACTTCACTCGATTGACTACATCTTTCCATTTCCATCTTTTCATAAAATGTAGATGCACTGAGGTATTTACTGGTACACATTGTGAACAATCAAATGCCAGAGTCGACCTGGTGGTATCTGGTTAGTAATCGATATTGCTTATAAGTCTTGCTTCAAGCTTTGTGTTAATGTTTTGAGTATGACTCACATTCGTTAGAAGATTTGTTTGTTAAGACTTCATGCTTCCAATACGCCACAATACCATTATTTGGAAGTTTTACAAAAATTGAAGCGAAACGAGTTGGAAAAGTTACTAGTCACTCCGTGCAAGTGTATAGACAGGTATAAAAAAAGGCTATAATTATGATATAAACAGACCGACTACTATTTTGTAAAATATTATTTACAGTGAAATAAATGGAGATTCTCGTAAAAAAAATTAAAAACCCAGTAATATATTCCATTATGTATGTAATGTCTTGCAAGCTATGTAGAGGCTTTACAAAATTGCATACTTTTATCTTACCAATGTATACCCGAATCCTACTGGATATAAAATATTTGTAAACAGTATAACGCCTGCTTGTGCCTACCAACCTGTATCTATTCCTTAACTTTGCAACGAGCATGGAGTCGCATTTGTTTTGAATTATTGATTTCCGCGATATCTTGAAACAAATTCTCGTATATTTTCCACAATTTGAGCATATATCGTCAAATACATCACTTAACACCCCCCCCCTCCCCATACCACAAATGTGAGCTCAATTTTGAGTTCAAAAAATGTGATTTAATTAGTGTTCATGCTTGCTTACAGACGCTCTGGACAACATCACCAAGATATCTGGTATAATAGCAATTGTGGCTGTTGTTATTACATTTTGTGCCTTGCCGTCAATCGTTTTATTATTCAGAAGGTATATGCATGTAGACCAATCAATGTTTTATATAAAACTATTATATACTTGCTCCATAGAGTCAAGCGTCAGGTGTTTGGCGCTTGTGTGTGGATTGTCGATGAAAATGCACATTGTAGACTGTTGATAAATGTCATGTTAATTTGCGTATGTTAATGAAAGATAATATATAATGCACATGCACTAAATGAGTTTCCATCTGAAAACTTAACTTAACTTATCTTTTACTTCAAGCTAAGATAACATGCACACTTGCATACATGCCATAATATAGATGGTTTAACTTATTTTTAACTTATTTACCTATACACCGCTTTGATCATGTATTGTATTTTGCAGAATACGTAAACGTAAGAAGAAACTTATGAAGGATATAAATGAAGAGCGCCACTATGTGAGTAGACACAAACAATGCTTACAATCTTCGTAACTGGCCTTGCATGGCGCAAGTAGCAGCATGGCCACTGAAATATGATCATACATACTATATAATAGGACACATATAATATTCAATGTTTAATAGTATGTCATCGTTGTTTCGCCTTTGGGATACATAATTAGGAATAGGCACATCCGGGGTGTTTCGTGCCTGATTGATTTTGTATCGGCCGTTGCAATTTGTAATTTCCCATCCATCATCGTGTCCATTGTTCTGCAGATCTATGAAATAATGATATTTGAATGAGTGAACGCGATGTGGGTTAGAATATATACTATTAGGGACATAAAAGTCCCGTAGCTCTCGTTCTTAATAAGATGTCGGTGGTTATTTGCATTATAGGTTCATTGTACGTATTTAAGGTAGCAACAAGAGTGAATCGTGTACATTTTTTTAATGTGTTTATTGTTTCACAGATCGAAATGGTACATAAATCACCGTATTCATGGATAAATATGACAGGCGAATCTTATACTACCGTAGATCCGGGTGCGCTAGATTACTGAATAGAAAAAATGGTATATTGGTGTGATTATTTGCTGTGCTGCCGCAGTACGCTGTGTATATGTTTGCAGTACTTTTTTTCGAGTACATATATTCATGATTGCATGTTTGTTTGTTTTAAATATATCATGAATATTTGAATATGATAGAATAAACTCGATTAGAGAATAGAATAAATCTCTATTCCATGTCCCGTGGCGTTAAGGGTACCAAATATAACACACTAATTCACGAGGCCACAAGGAAGAAAACATAGTTTACGCACTCTAGCGCCGAATAAAGTGCATTGTTAGTATTACGTTTAGAATGCGGGAGGCTACAATATATTGTAAGTATATGATTTCAGTCCGATTATATATATCCGAATTTGATAAACTAGGTTTATTTATTCATTATTCTGTGAATAATATATTAACCTGTTTATTTAGGCGGAAGGTAGTTTTGCAGAAATTAGGTGTACCATGATAGTATCAATGTATAGATATGGCTCCAGTTGTATATTTTAATTGTTAGAATTTGATAATATTTCAAATAATTAATAATTCGGATTCATTTTTAATTTAAACAAAATCTTACTGGGATTAATTGGGTTTACTGAAAAAAAACGAACGCATACGCAATGTTAATATTTTATTTGGAGCGCTCAAGACATGCATTCATGTAGAGGAGTAGACTATTCACGGGTTTCTGTGTCACGTGGTATTTTTGTCCGAATGTGTTACAATTGTTCATCATTTTGCTCATGTTTGTAGCTGGATAATACAAAAACAACTAAGATAATAGTCCATTTATATATACGTTTATTACAACAAGTGTTCGTAGGTAAACGTTCGACTTATTGTGCCTGCACTCCTGGAAAGGTCCAGTCGCTTTGTACATTTTTTTGAACAGCAGTCAATCACAATACGCGTTATGCAAGAACTTCGAACTATCCTGACATAATCGAATACTTGAAATCCACAAAACGTATATTTAGTAGTCTGAAGTGGTTATCAATTGTATATATATATATATATCGACATAAAGGATTACGCTGTGGGTCAACACATTATGCTGATGTCAGTTTTTTGGTAATTTGACGATGTATGGAAAACATAACATATGATTGAATAAAATCTTTAAGCGTGTCTTTTTACTCAGGGAAAGTTGTCTTCTGGCGTTTTCATTTTTTAAATATATTTTAGTTTAGTGCTATACAAAATATATATCTGGGAGATGTCTAATCCAAATCACGATTTGCAGATGAACGTCATCCAATTAATGCTAAGCCACTTTATAAATGAGCAAACATAATTGCAAACATGATTACAGACCACGTTGTAAAAAAAAATGAAAAAATCCCGTAAAATTCATCTTCAAAGCTCCCTTCCCAAGATTTCAAGCTTTCAAATATTACATTATTTTGCAATGAAATTCCCAATCAGAATTTTGCATTATTGTTATGAATTGTTGAAGATTATGATGAAAGGTGGATAGCAGGCGATTTAGACGCCACTCGCCATTCTGGAGTTTGTAAGCAGTTAGCCATTTTTTGTTATTATAATGAACATCATACAGTGAATATTTTTGAATCACAATATCTGTGAACATATTCCGCCACTGGTGCATGAGTACAGAACGGGACTCAGTAAGTTATTGTAGAGGGTTGTTTGTAGCATGGAGCCCCCTTTGTGTGGGAAAACTGGTTTGGCAGTGAATGAATAGGGATATGCTGAATGTTGCATCAACGTGCATTGGAGGAACAGGTGGCCATAGCGTGTCATTGTTTACAAACATGAGCCTTTGCGTTTTTATCGTGTGTTGTTATCGTCGCTTGGGACTCAATTTCCAACGTTCTGCATTCTGTTTGTTCATGATAGTAGTTGGTATTCAAACCAACAAGGTGATTCGAACAGTGTGGATACGTACACCGGGTACTTATTGGTTGGATACTGTAGTTTTATCAATATATGATGACATAGTTGCCAAAGAAAACTTAACAAATCAATATATTAGCCGTGTTCTCATTGGAGAATTAGATTCGGATTGACATAAGGTTAATCTTCGACACTTGGTGCAAATCAACGTGAAGTTGCCTGATTATTACCGCAAAACACAACTTCAATAAAGAAAGTAGAATTCAGCTTAGGCTATATAATTTCATGAATAGTCATAATGTATTTGTACATATGCAGATATGACTAGATTGAAACCATTCTTACGTACCAGTTATTTCAGTCACCATATTTGCTAATTGTCGTTTTTCCAACCTCTAAATGCGTTCCGATGCACAAAGTCAGCACGTGCTGACCGAGATACCCCTTAACTGAGCACGTGCCGACTCGGCTCCGACCGTTTCCACCGTTTCGACATGTGTCGAGATTTAAATTCATCTCGATCTGGAAGTGGCTGAATTTCGACCCCGACTCTGTCTCTTTAGCCAGACCGTGATCGTAATGTGTCGACTCTGTCCTGGTCCAGTGGTCGTTGACACTACGATACCGACGTTCGGTTCGTACAATATATTTAAAGCGAATTTCACTAATGTAGGTAGGCTTATACAACAAATAAGAACCCCCAAAACAATACGTGAGAACAGAATATTTAATTTACAGTTTTTATCCCAAATTTTTACTATTTATGTGGAAAAGTATTACATTAGTCTCAAGCACATGGTGTTGATTGGCAATGAGAACGTGGCGTTTCAATAATGGGCAGCACACGCTAATTAGGAAAATAAGACCAATGCGCTGCCCACTATTTCGTGTTATCAATTACCACTATCAGAAAATTAGAGATTATTGTGTTATCTTAAATATATCAAACGATAATGTAAACCTCTATTTGAAAGTACAAAAACACTAAATTTGTTTCCGATGGTGGTGATTTATGGAAAATATAATGAATCTCCAACATCGTCATATAGAATTCGGATTCTAGGCGCTGTTTCGCCTCGCATGATATCTTGCCATAGACTCTTCTCATCCAATAAAACGCTTTGAGCGATTCACTATCGTTTAATTAATAAGGCATGGGTGTGTGTGAGCAGTTATGGGTGAGACGCATTCGCATCTACTATTTAAGCGAACATACCCATATGATAGCTTTGTCTACTACAAGACGTCGTAAGTATAGTTTAGTACTTTTCCATGGTACACCTGACTCAGGTGAATCACATGAACAAAAATTGGCCCCTTCTTTACAGAGACAAAAGAGGACTAACTGCATCATCATTATTTGCCTAATGACTAATCCAGACAAGCAAGAATCCAGTTAAACTATAGACAGTATAGTAGGAAAGAGTGTGAGCATGTAGTCAAGATGGCGACAGACGTGAAAACAGACGGATTGACAGTCCGTTTGAACAAAATTACGAGGCAGAGAACGATAAAAAAGACTATAGTCGGTGAAAATGACATAATAAGAAGATTTATGCATCATGAAAACAAACATTCAAATATTTTGTCGAAAACGGGGTACAAACTGAATATAACATTTTGCTACCACTACATTTAGTTAACATGTACGGAAACATTACTGCCGTCTGAAACTAACTTTCAATTTTATTCAATTAAACAGGAACATATATATTAAAAGTAATATTTACTAGTGAACCACGGTCACGAGAACATCTGATAACCATTGTGTGATCGAAAGATGCGTATTGCGGAAAGAAAACGACTCGTTGCTCATTAGAATATTCCAGCCCAACTTGCGTTGGGCATCCGACGTTTGTCTTTGATGTTTGCCGCAGTTGCGCGTCTTTCCTACCTTCGTCCAAGGGCTTCATTAGTAACTATAATTTTAGTTTGTACAACAATTGTATTAGTATTTTGCAGTGTTGACCTCTCCAATTTTAAAAAGAATACGACTGATTGTCATGTTTTATTGGAGAAGGGGGTTCCGGGAAGTCACAGATTCATGGTTGTGTCATGCACACATGAATATTATAAGTTTTGTTGTAGATTAAAAGTGAATTTATGTATGCCCAATTATATGGTATAGTGGGAAATTTCAGTTCATTCTTCCGATCAAGCATTGTGGGGAATTAACATTCATTTGCATGGCACCAAGCCAATAATATGTCTCACACTATAAGTACCATCACGAGATAGCACTCGTTGAAAATTGTATTAATTAATAACCTTTTTTTCTTTAAATAAATGTGCCAGGCAGCAGTTTCGAACATTGAATGTCATTGTTGTCTCTCTCATTATTTTATGTGCACATTGCAAGTGACATACACAACATTTTTGCAACAGAAGCCATATTTATGTTTGGGACTACATAGCAGGGCTGTGCGGCCATCTCGCTATCAAATGGCAATTTAATGCGCTACGCTGGAGTAAACCAGGGCCGGTCAAACACAATCCCCTACAGCACAAAAATATACACTCGTTAGTGAATGAATGAGTTTGTGGCACACTCACCCAAGGTAAGAGTCGGCATTTTTTGGTGTTCAGCGTAGTAGATATGTTCAATCTTAGTATGGCATACATATATGGATGGTTACCAATACAATCGCACCCAACCAGTAGTTTGAAAAGTACAGCATCCCGTATTGTGAAAAATAAAGAAAAATATATTCGTTGTACTCTATGTGATATAACTTCTGGTTACAAGTTCTAAATGTCGTCTGCAATATTAAATAACATCAGTTTCAAGTTCTAGTAAAATTAAAGAGATTGAAAGCGCACCTCCATATCAATCGTCAATTGTGGTACTGGTCTATTTATGTCTGAATACGTCATAGCATCCGCCCTTTTATTGAGTCGCTCAATAGTCACTAAAATATAATTGCTTGGAAGTATTCATCAGAACACATTGGATCCCATTCCAAACAATGACAGACTACGTAACCGGAAGAACCTGTTGCATGATGGGACGTGAGGGCGAGACGGTCAGTATGAATAACGCATCAAGCGTACATACACGTTCCAAGTTACAGTACAATTACAGTAGTTGCAGAAATGAATCAAATGTTCTTCTTTACAGGAAAAAAAATGGATGTTAAAACACATTAAGACTACTTTAATTATGAGATCGATCGTTTCGTTAACTACCGCGGTAGTTTATCCTAGTGGTTTGAATTTTCAAATATCAATTACAAAAAATATACTAACTGAGACATCGGTTATGGAATATCACTAGTCCCGTGTTCGTAACATATAGTCACGTCATATTTTCATCAAGTGTAGATATTTCTCTTTTTAGGTATGTATGTTTTTGGGTGAATGAATAATTGTACTAGTACATAGTGAGAACTGTGCAGACACAAACGAACGTTTAGAATGGCTGCTCATCAGAACTCAATCCTCAGAAAGCAATTTATTTGTTGAGAAGATTTGCTCAAAAATGTTGTGCTGATCTTCTCAAAACAAGTATCTATGTACTGAACTTTCGCTTGCAACATACTTATGACGATGTTCTGTGACTGAAATGTAGGGCGTTGTTATAATTTCTATGAACTGTGTTCATATGACGTATTCAGCAAACTCGGCATGACCTTTTCTGTTAATTTCTGTGACTCGACACCAAAATGGAACACAATTGTTTATTAAGCTAGATCAGTACACCCTGTTTCGTGTTAACAATTATACCATACATGAACATATAGTTTGTCATGGCGATTTTAATAATTGTACACACCCCTTTCTACGGCTTTTCAAAAAACGCATTGTTTGCCCATTTGACTCACCCCACCCGGATTTTATAGATCTTAAAGATGAACAATACCATTTGTAAAATATGATGACGAACACGACAAGGTCAAATAATTGCACTCCGTACTGCTCTCAAGTTCACTAAATAGTATGACTGAATCTGAGCGGACGGAACTAGTTTTCGAGCACAACTTATTGCTGTTGGTGTTCAAGGTATTTCGCCAGTCAGAAAACAATCTGTTGAGCGGTATTTCTGAATTTAGACAATCAAATGATGACACTGTATGAAACTCGGGATATGTAACGATGAGGTTGCCGAGGCTCGGAGAAACTCGCCAACTGTCCAAACTGAACATCGTTTATTGGTTGATCTGTTTGTTGGCATGTGACTACTTTTTAGGCAAGTAAGCTACTTTATGTTTTGGCAAAATCGTTTGCATTTTTATAATATATTTATATAGTCATTGATATGACTGTTCTAAGCAAGATAAATAAAAATATCGACAGATATAATTTTTAAAATGTGGCCTCAGTTTATTTTTCTCAATTCTATTATCATTTATGAATAACAAAAAATAGCTTGGTCCCGCCGTTTATGCTTTTGTTAAATCTATTGTAATCGTTGGATAAAATAGGGTGGTCCCATTATATTTTTCGTTAAATCCACCATCCTTACAAATAGTGAGCTTTGATCAAACTTTCCTGTGTACACTTTAAACAAGGTCAATCCATACATATCGAATAATTGCCATGTGATAAACTTAAACACCTGTTCACTACAACACACTGGTGTCATTGGCGTTATGTTTATATTATCAGTAAATACGGACAGTGAGATTGATTTGTCGAATGCGATGAAAGCGCAGGCATTCAGCACGATAGACTACATTTAAAAAAAACGCACCACAGTCATTTCATTAATTTTTCGTACAATTAACTTCGACTTGCGTAAATAAAAACATTCTATTGCCCTATCAGAAATACGTATTCAGGCAATTGCAAGGTGGGTTTATCACATCTCACTGTTGTTACGCATGCTGTGATAGGTTTAGACTCGGTCACGTGACATTGAATACCTTATGGTACTGTAAAAGGGTTAATTATTCACTGGGTTTTAATTTTGCTTATTTTGCTGACTGGAAAATGCGCTGAATTAAAACCCGGTGAATATGTCAAATTGAGAATAAAAAACATTATCTAAATGATAAAACCGTGAATTTAAAACCCACTGAATATGCCTGAAATGCTCAATCAGTGAAAATTAAACCCAGCGAAAATTGTACAGTATATTGCACGCCAAGATATTACATGGGTTTATTACATGGATGACGTCATTGAAAACAATTGTGCATAACACATTGTCGTTCGCTGCATTGGTGCAGCCCCGGCCGCTGATGCTTTCGGTTGTTGCTTTCAAGGTTTTGAAGGAACTTTAGTCATCCTAAATAGACAGCGAACGTGTCAGATTGGATAATAAGTAAGATACTCTGTTTTGATGTTTAGGCTATTCTTTATATGCAGCAAAAATGTACGGTAAAACCGTCACTGAAACGTAGCAGCCAGGATTGCTGCGCCGCGTTCTACGCTGTAAGCATTTCCACGCGTTCAAGTATGTCCACGCCGTATGTATACAATGTGAAACTTGTTATAATACATAAAATAAAATATTCCATACTTCAAATATAAGTGTTGTTATTTTGTGGGAGAGTGGGTGTGAGTGATGTATGGTTAGATGTACTTGTGCACTGTGGATGTCTGCTCGATGTGATAAAATAAATAACACATGGTAATTCGGGCAATATCACGATTTGCCAATCATAATGAGTTTCAACCAATCATAGCAGGCGTAACAGCAGTGACATGTGATAAATCGTAATATTACCCTCACAAACATGTTTTATTATTTAAATATTGCACGACACTGTGGTATCAAAATACCAAGATCACGAAGGGGAACAGTGCAATTTCATAGGGTGTAATAACCCCTTTATCATACATGTTTTTTTGCGATCTGTATGTTGTGTTGTGAACAAATAAAGTTGATTTCGCAGCAGATGTCGTGTTTTCCCTTTAGAACTTGATCCCCGCTATATGCACTGAAAACTTACTGTCAACGACGCGGAGACAAGCGCGGTGGTCGCCGCATCGCGTCGTGTTCGATATGGCACCCATAGCGAGGTACACAAAGCATGTACAATCAAATTTTTGTTCACACGGAACTCAAACAAGCACTGTGCGACGATCACTGCTCCTTAAATTATTTTAGTAACTATTTTGAAAAATGCTAGAAAATATATGTCGGGGTGACAGATTGTACAAAGCTATAACATAATATTCTAGACGACATGCGTTGATTTGCGCAAACTACCGTGCTTTCTATTTGATTGCTCTTTCTAAGACAGTCGCTAGAACTTTCCAAGTACAAAAATCTACAGTTCTCAATCAGTGGTCATAAACGGTTGTAAGGATAACATTGGAACACAACGTTTTTTTAAATGTATAGTGGTAACAAGTAAATAGTTCAGGACACACAGTAAAATTATTCTCCGTATTTAAGTCGTCAAATATGACGTCATATTTCACCGTAAAATCAAAGATACTACGCGTTCCACGTATAATAAATACCTATGTATCACCATTGTATGGCATGGAAATATTGGATCAGAATCCTTTAAAGTGGAGGGGTCGTAACCTGCGCACGCGCGAGAATTGAGTCCCAAGAGACGATAACAACACATGCTAAAAACGCAAACGCTCATGGGTAGACGCTTGTTTGTAAACAATGACCTGCTATGGCCATCTGACGCATGCGCAGGTGACGAATCTCCGCTTTAGTAGTTGCATTCATTCGCCTCATTTGTTTATATAGAAAAGACGGTCACCGTGTGCGTCATGGCCAGCGAACGAGGCCACAATTTGATGATGTAATCAGATATAATAACACGCACACGGGATGTCCACGAATGGTCTGTTGGAACTAAGTAATAGGTGACATGCGACAAAATATTAAAGTGTTTTAACATCAGTCTAACTTTTTTACTTTAGGTTGCCGAGCCTTTACCTGCAGCAACCCATGGCATCCAATGAATGGAGAACTCGTCAATATGGACAGCATAAGATTTCCTGTTGATCCGGGCACAACAGTTGACTTCACCTGCTGTGCTGGTTTTGAACCCCTGGGTGGTGTCGACCGTATGACTTGCATGGAAGATGCTTCGGGTTCGTTCTGGCAGCCAAGCGAAGTCATATGCGATATAAGTAAGTAACTGCGATCATTCAAGCAATACCATCGCCCGATCTCACCAATATCGAGATTGCACTGATTGTACGATATTTATACGAACGAGCGCAAGAACATTATAGTTTATGTGCTCATTATTTCTGTAATACAATCACAATTTATTTTTTTAAACCATTCTTAACTTGATATGCTGATATGAACCCTGTCATGCACTCAGCGTACCTTAGTATCTATTAATTGAATAGTGATTACCATACCAGGTGTTTTAATCGACAAACTTTCACGTGTACTGAACTATACTTTCGTTTGTTTATATTTAGTTTGTAACGCTGATGAAATCAAGACTGGACTAACTTGCTATTATATAAGTCCTAAGAAAGGATCCTGGGACGATGGTGTTGCGGAGTGTACAAATTTAGGTTACTACGCAGCAATAGTTGACAGTTTTGACGAGCACCAAATTTTAATCGATATTCTCCAAAATCGGAAGGGTATAAGATACTGGGTTGGGGCAACTGCTGTTCCTGATGGGATTTGGCGTTGGCATTCCGGAGACCCTATAACATATACTCAAATATGGGAACCTGGTAATCCATCAGATGCGCAGCAACAATGTGGCGTCCTTACAAAACAAGGAGGATATTATATGTCCGATGTCCCCTGCGGAACAACAAGTGTATTTATATGCGAACGAAGTAAGTATAGCATTTAAATCAATAAGCATTACAGAATAATAATTGTAAGTTAGTGGTCTGATCAATTCAAATATATTATGAGTTGTAGATTTGACGACAGACTTCGAGTATTGTATCATGATTTATATTTCAGTCAGTTTGACAGTGGTTGCCATGACATATACTGATAAATGTTAATGACAAGACCAGATGGCGAGCTGGTCGAAATCAACCAAAAACATCTTATGACTCTGCAGTTTTTAAGATACAAGACTGACTGACTGAAATATAAATCATGATAATTGTACGCAGAAGTTGACAAACTAGTATGCACCTTACTAATTTAATAAATGTCGACTTTCAAAATCAGCGATACGTGCAACCAGAGTTGTACCATTCTTGCCCGCCAGAATATTCTTTCGATCACACAACAAACATACTTCGGAAAAACTCCGAGGGAAAACACTGACAATGCGTGTAGTTGGAAATTCATAGAAGAAAATGGACAATCGGCGAGGTCACGGATCATCTGTTAAATGAAAATATACCCTAACAAATATCTACAATTTCTAGTCGTTTAGATTCAAGAAAATGGAACACACATGACTGACATACAATATATGTCACTATGTGTCGAAAAGGGACGGGGATTTGAATTGATTGCAGATCATATGTGCTCTTAACCAGCTGAAAACATTATTATGATTTTGAAATGTACAGCGGATATGAAGTGATGAATTAGGTGTACGCAGTACAACATACGCATAAAACAAAAAGTAACCATATCCAAACTAACCGTACTACAAAAATAGAACGGTTCAAATTGTTTGTAATGAACGCGGGCCTATACAGTGACACGATGAACACACGCAAGCCGGATCTGATTTTGTGCCCATTTGTATTGAGCTTACAATACGACTATTGTCACTCCATTTACACTCTAAAAACTTGAACTTGAAGACTTGAGTGAGTGGAGTTGATAGTAGATGAGAATGTAACAAAGGAACTGTACTCAACATGGTGCTCATCTCTACATTATCTAAATATGAATATAATGAACGTAAATGAATTGGCCTTTGTGGTTCACAACAATTGTCGTTAGTGATAACATATACGTTTAAATAGCCTTGCATGGAAAACGCCCCTGTTAATAATTAATAATTTATGTCTTGGTTGTTACATTTCTCAGGTGGTCTAATAACCTGTGATGACCCCGGTATACCAGCTAATGGCGAACTACTAACCCCGGTGATTTTTCCAGCTGACTATTTTCAAATACTCACATTCAATTGTCTTCCTGGTTTCCAGCTGATTGGTGACATGTCAATTATTTGTGGTGTAGGGCTATGCAGTGCTGCATACAACTGGAATAACACAATACCGGAATGTGTTAAAATAGGTATGCTACAATATGATTGAATAACATATCACTTGGTTACTTGTATCAACATGGAATAAACATAACACAGTAGGATTGCTGAATTTCACCTTATTGTAAAAGTAACCAGTATGTATTGGCATTTGACAACCAAACTAGCAAATAAAGTATTTTGAATGCATTGTATACGTTGTATACAACCTTATTGGATATGATAATTACTTTATATTAAATAGTCATTTGTGTTCTCCAATTCCCAAATCAGTTCACTTTGAACACTTTGTACGGAGGAAGTTACAACATGAACATAATATATTGGTAAATAATAATGAATGGAAAAACTATCCTGAACGCACTTGTCATGTGAACTTTACACCATGTCAAAAACTGATATTTCTGAGAATTGATTAGGATGGCCAGACTTAAAAAAGAGTATGAATATAATTTCATTACGCATATTTACTCTTATTCTTCATAGAAACAACCACAAGAAAAACTACTATGGTGACATTTCAGGATACTACAATAACAAGTACTGACACTACAACACATATAAAACCTGTATCTACAACAAGTATAACAATACCTGAGTCTACTACAGAGGTAGCAATGCAAATATCTAGCACAGAAATAGCACCAGCAGACCTAACTACAAAGGTAAGAACATCTGAATCTACGACAATGATAACAACATTAGAATCAACTGCAAAATTAACAACGCCTGGAACTAGCACAGGGATAACAATGCCAGAACAAACCATAGTGAAAACAAAACCGGAATCTACCAAAATCAGTACAATAACTGATTTTGCCACAAGGATAACAATGCCTGAATCTACCACAAGGAT